AATGACCAAGATGGAAGGAATGACTTGCTGTCATTTGTAATACAGAAATTACAAAGACTTTGTTCATAAAAACATGTTATGTCTCATTCAGGGTGTCTTCCTGTGCCTACTTTGATAAACTCCAGGATCATCAAGACCCTGTACTGGATAAAGGATATTGGAGATAGATACAAACTTAATTCTTATGAGCTTCTATACGGTTCCAGTCAAAAGTCAACACATCTGCTTTTAATGCATTTGGCTCTATTCCAGCGTTAGGGCTAAATGTCTTGATGTAATGAAGTAATACATATAAAATATGCAACGACCAAGAGAAGTGTTCATTTTAGACTCTTCAAAATTGCCCCCTGTTGCTTCGGAGACAGCTTTGCAGACTTTTGGCAGCATCTCTCAATCAGATTCCATACAGTATGTAGCCACCTGGAATGCTTCTCCAACAGTCCTGATGGAGTTTCCACAAGTTCTGGGCACAAGTTGGCTACTGGGCTCTTGATCCAACTCATAGTGGGCGCCAGGTCATCTGTCACAGCACTCCATCTTTTTCCTTGTTCAGAAGATAATACTTACTACATAACCTCAAGGTGTGCTTAGGGTCAATATCTTGTTGAAAATCAAGCCGTTTTCAGTAGGTGTGTCCAGATTTTCATTAGTACTGTATTCGATTGTCTCATTAATACATGAAAACAGCATGAGAGAAAATGAAGTACACAAAGACAACTTGGAATTGCTGTTCAGCAGAGTTCTCTGTATGCTAATGCAAATGCTTAAATTGAACACCTTCAATACACTCCTGGATACATAAATTACTACTTGTATATAGATACACAAGCATATTTGCTAAGCCAAGTAAATAATGGCATATTCTGATGTTTAATCATAAATCCTATTATGGGACATGTGTAAAGATGAAAACGACATGCCTTTATTCCAAGAAATGATTGGTGTGTTTGCCCAGCATTTTTCCTCCAGTGCTTTTGTCTGACAGCTTATTTGTTCCATTCTACTCTACAATGTTAATACAGGCAGTCGCTGGGTGAAGAATGTCCGACTTTACGGACAACTCGTACTTATGGGCCCCCATAAAGCTTATTATGTTAAACATTTGTATTAAATATAATGTTCCATAATAATGAACACTCACACTATTTTGCAGTGCTCATGCAAATATTGCATGGCTTCAGTGGTTCATCAAATCGGGGTTCAGTGCAGTACCATATGAAGTTACTTTTACTATTTCTGCATAATTATTATCATTATTATGTAGTGTATTATTATTTTTCCAACTAGTCTACAAATTCGACTTGAAGTCCTTGAAATTCCCTGAAATTTTATTACTAGCAGGTCTTCCTGTGACTTTGAGTAGGATGCTGTACAACCAAACTATACTGCTAGTGTGGATTCTAGCCTTCTGGGAAAATGCTTTGACAGCCTGATGGAAAATGAGAAATCAGAGGAAACGATCCACTGTTGGAAGTTACCTTTATTTAGTCTTTTGTGGTATAGTTCAGGCAGCTGAGCTTTTCCTACAAGAATATATGAATTCACACTCTTCCCATTTCCCAAAACTGTTTACAGAGACAAGTTCCAGACGGCTGAACGGAAAAGTAATGACAGTTAAATTTGGAGAGGGAAAGAGCAGGAGGAAAGGTCCCTTTCCGCTCGTAGCATTTCCTTTTGTGTGTGAAACGAATCAGCGATTGAGTCTTGGATGTTGTTTATTTAAGATATGATTTCCTTACCTTGTGCAATTTCCATCCAGTCCATGCCTCACATTACCTTAAAGCAAAAAAGTAAATTAACATCGAAGAATGGTACTCAATGTCCGTTCATCCATGGATTAGTGATTGAAGGGATTGGGGACGTCCTTCAAGGCTGGCTGGGTGAGATTTGTATTAGGCCAGCTTGGCTTGTCAGGCCCAACACATGTTACTCAACAGGCATGAGGGATTGAGTTTAGTCAGGAGGCATGGGTATTGTTTAATGGATCGACGTCAAAGGTACAATGCAAGCTCCATCTGTTGTCTGAAATAGGTGCAGTGGGTTTGAAAACTCCACAACATTATATATCACCTCCCCACCACTGTCAGTTAGCATGAGAGTATCAGCTCCTCTCGTGCTAACTGACAGTGGTGGGGAGGTGATATATAATGTTGTTTTGGGTTATTACTTCAACTGAAGCAAAACAAAATAGCCCGAAAATAGCCATGAAAAACAGGTGCAGGTTGGGTTTCATGGTTGGCTCAAATAAAAAATTGGTTTCTACCGTCACATCCAGTGCCATGTCTGGTCATTGTGACACTTGGTGCAAGAGATTGACGATTGGACCAGCTACAAAGGAGATGCTCTTGCTTTGGATTTCATTCCTCCCCACCATTTCTGTTAAACCCATCTCCCATACTCAAATAAAGTTCCTATTCCCTTCTCGCGCTCCCATGTCACGTGATTCTTTTGGTCTTCCCAGCCAAAGCAAGTTGTACAGAAGCCGACTGCCAACTTGCTCTGTCGTTTGGTGGTCTTCATCACCTTCAAATATTAAATTCAGAAACAGTTTACTAAACTTGTCATTTTTATTTATTAATGTGAAAGGTCACATTGGATAAAGCAAATTGCTACTGTGGATTTAGACACACATAAGCATAGTTTGTAAATTGCATGTTTATGTAATAATTGGCATGTAGAAGGTGGAAAGATGCATGATTTAGAGTGAGCAAGGGTTTTAAAAATCCAGCAACTTAAGACATTTTCCCAACATGGATTTTGGTTTGTTCTTGTTTATATGCATTATTTTGCTTTTGGCTAACCTTAGTCACTGACTGACATTTTAAATCCTGTTTTCTTTCCAAGGCATATTTATGTTTTAGAAATGTCTGCATTTTTTTCCTGCTGGAGCTCATATTTTGTACTGTGTTAGTACCAGCTGCCATGGTTGACAAATGCAGGCAAAATTTTTGTCTATAAAATGTGATTCTTACAATTTGACTTTATATATTACAGAAACAAACAAAAACACTTTACATAACAGCATCACATGTTTTTATAGGTCAGCATTTTTTAACTCTTTGCTTTGACTATTCTTTCTAACTTGATTTCATTCATTTACCTTTTTTGTAGGAGAGAAATCAATAACTACATTAAAGTGAGGGCAATGGGTCTCCAAAGTCCCCTCAGAGAAAAATGCAAAGATTCTTATTTGAAATTCCTGAATAATTTTCACTTCTCACGCTATTATCCAATAAATTCAAAGAAACAATATAAAATAAAGCGCTTTCACTTTTAATGTTTTGCTAGCTCTAACGAATTATTTTTGTGCATGAATCATCATCAGTATATAGAATTTCCATTCTGTACATTCACTTCGACCAGTACTGCCCAAAGCACCATCTAGGGTCACTGACTCGCAACTTGACTCAGACTCAAGTCACAAATTTGATGACTTGTGACTCGACTCAGCAAAACTGATTGAAAGACTTGGACTTGACCTGCACTTGAGTGCAAATGACTTGAGACATGGCTCGGACTTGCAATGTTTTTATTCTTAAGACTTTACTCGGACTCGCCTACGAGTGACTTGTTCCCATCCCTGCAAAGGCTCATGGGAAATTGAGTAGCATAAACCAGATGAGATTTTGAATGTGGTGATTATAAAGCAAGGATTATTCTTGTATAATAGTGACTGACAGATAGAAGAAATATGTTTTGTTAATGCTAGTACTTTGTGTATATATTTCACTTTCCATATAGTTCTGAAACAGAAATCCCTTCTTGTAACAGATTTTTTTCCCCCAGAAAACTAAATTTAATCCTCTTTTGGATATATGAGGCTATGAACAACATATACTTGTAATTACATAATTACATAGAATCTGCCTTTAAGGGGAATTTACTGTAATTCAGAAATAATTACATGACAGACAATGTATGCAGGTACTTCAATTATGGTAGCATATAAAGCATGGATGAAGTGTCTGCAAATTAAATAAATGTAAATATAACATGAAAAGAAACCTTATCTTTAAGAATAAACTTTATAGTTTTGTAGGTAATTGGATCCAATGTTAACTGCTCTCAATCACACACCATGTCATGTTTTCGAGTGATATGAGTGTTTTAATGTTTAATATACATGGTATTTTTGGTTTTGTTTAATTTGTGTAGGCTAATTGTCAATGAAGATGGCATTCCCAAAAGGAGACTAAAATTTCTAAACGAGCTAATTGTTCAAGGCATTATTTTGTTAGTTAACAGAAAAGGTTTACAGTTGTGTTATTTCTGTATTGGTATTTGTTGTCAAAGCAACGAAATGGAGCAGATGGTAATGCGTTTAAATATATAATTCAGTGAGGGGACATTTTAAGGTTGAAATAAATTACTTTGTGCGTGAACAATTTGAAAAGCAACTAAATAAGGAACGGTATCTTGGGAGGAATGAAAACGTCAATCTGACAGTCAGGTGTTGAGGGTTTGAAAACATTGCCCTCTGCTGGAAATTGTAGTTTTTGCATCTTTTTTCATTTGTGTTTCGATTTTCCTAGTAAATTGACGAGCACATTCCTTTTGACTTCCGGATTTTCTGTCGTTTTTTAAAAAATAAATAAATAAAATGAATCACATTAAGTATTATTTATGTATAGGCATATGCTTTATGAAAAAATCGGTTTAGATCACAATTAACCGTTTATTTTTCGTAAATGTTTAAACTGATGCCAGATGGGATACTTTGAAGACGTGGGATTTTTATATAAATTAATCTTAAGAGTGAATTACCTATTATTTAGTTTTTTTCTGCTAATTTATTCGCTGTTTGCATTATTTTAAAATATTTAGACATACACAACCACTAGTAATTACAAACTTGGTAGCCTATATTTCTGGAATATAAAAATGACGGTATCTGACGGTATTTGAACGTTTCAATCCAACTAAAAAAAAAAAACAAGGGTGTCACCGCACTAACATTTCATGGCCTACATAACTCGTGTACACACATACTCATACTGCCATTATTTTGTCATTTGCCTGAAATTTCAACTAAATAAACATACATACATACTGACTGGTCGTATATACGTCCGTCCAAAGTGATCTTCGTTGCACCGCATTTGTATTGTTCTGTTGTTATTCTGCGTTTGTGTGTGCAAATTCTGTATTTTGTAACACTTAATATAATAAAACTCGTATATTGCACGCGCAGTTTGTTAACTAAAATACCAATAAACAGATGTTAAAAAATGTCACGGTTTATTATACGAAACCTGATACTGTACGAGAGATGGGCCGACATCCAACTTCAGAATAAGTGCGGCACGCACCACGAACATCCGCACTAGGAGAAGCACGCGCGCAACGCCGATGTCATTAATAGTGAAATTCCACTGTATTAAATTACCATTTATTTTAAACGAGCGATTCAAACGACCTGTGACACGTTTAACTGAAACTCCTCGAGCGCGCGCGCGCGCGACGAAAGTGCTGCTCCCAAACCGGCGAGATTTTCCCGCTACGGCTCTGATGACGTGCGCTCGTGGGGACAACAAACAGTAGTTTGAGTAAAGGCAGCGAAAGAGAGAGAAATTCAGGTTTTGTACGCCTTACAGGTATCCTTCGCGGCGCCGACTGTACTATGCGACGAATTTCGTTTATATCCAGTTACGTTTAAAAATAAATCTGTTTTAATTGGGGGGGAGCCATTTACGCCTGAGTGTTTAAAGCCATTTGTAAGGAATACTCTTGTCAGCCTCTAGCTTTTAGCAGGATAGGAAACGATGCCGTGATGCCAATGACGCCTGCGTTTTTCCCTGCCTAGCCGAAAGATGCGATGCGACACGTTTTAACTGATCGGCGGAGAAGGGGGGGGGGGACGTGTACCTTTTGAATCGCCTCTTGCTCTGTAGACAGAATGTGGGTACCGACCAAAAGAGCCCGTTTAGCCCGTAAAACGAGGATGAATGGCCTAACTGGGTAGGTGTCATGTAAGCGGCGGTTCGTGGGACCCGAGGCTCATCACACATTTTCTGGAGAAGGACACGAATTAGAAAGAAACGGATTTCGCTCATATAAGTTAAAATAAAAGGAAGATGAGGGGAAGCAGAGTATGAAGAGCCGGGCACTGACTTTTTCAGGAGGACCCTCGAGGAACGCGAATTACCTGCCGGGCGACAAACTGCCTCGCTAATAGCTTCGAGAGAGAAAGCACATACAAAAAAACATGATACCTGCCTGAGGCCGTCCCTCTGCACATCGACTGTGATTAATTGTTCAGTATAGTTTTATTTTAACCGATTGGTCACGCAGGTAAATCAAATCCGTTTATTAACGTTAACAAGAATTACTTGGCCGGTCGGGTTGAACGTTTGCTCGGACAGCCTCGCCTTTCGCCGACTTGCAGCCAAATCGCGATTTGACAGGAAATTTTCCCCGGTGTTTCGGTCTCCCTCTCATGTATATTGGGATTTATACGCTTTAAGATGTTTTGCAAGCCATGGTTGGCGTAGTAACGACCGCCATTGAGGTCTGTCTTCGGTTATAGAGTCATATAAATGTGAAACTGGCTTGGCGATTGCTATGTAAATTTCCAACGGTACCCCTGAAGGCCAGTGTTTACAAAAGTTTCGAGTCGTTGATATCAGAATACTAGCAAAGCACTCAAATAGCTTTAAATGCCTCCGCGTGTAAACGGGGTTATTATAATTGGATTGGCAGCCACATTTATCGGGACTTCCATTGAAAGAAAGGGTAAAACCACGTCCACTTTCCCCAGATATTGACAGTTAGATTCATTAGTTTGAATAGGAATATATAGTAACTACCGAAGTGGAAGACAAGGCAAGAACACCCTTGTCTGCTCTTTTTGAGCTAGAAATGATGAACAGCCAAGAAGTCCTAGATTTTTGCAGTGCCAAATCAAGTGAAATAGAAGACATTATAACCTGGAAGGACATTCAAGTCATGGAAGAAGAGGTGTCAAACCAAGGAATTGGGACCGCGGCTGTGGACAGCGCAGGGCCATGTGGGTTGAATGACGGTCACCTTGGTTGTGAGAAAGACCAAAGGACAGAAGAGGTAACAGGGAATGGGAAAAGTACCATTCCCAGTGTGTCTTACGTCTCCTACTTGGATATCTCTGATCCATGCCAAGAAGCAAGCAGATGTGATTCTATAGTAGCTGATCCAAATGCTGATTTTGGAGATATGGACATTGGTGTGGATTTAACTCTTAATGAAAGCGGCGTGCTGGAGCCAGAGTCTCCTTGCCAGGAAGGTGAGCTGGTGGTTCAGGAAGGTATCCAGGATGTATCCGTTCTAGCTGCTAAGCCTGTGGATATGTGCACTGCTGCAAAAGAACCCAGGAGGGCCCTGGATAAAGAGGGAGGCCGTTTGCCTTCTGAACCCCTTGCAGTAGAGACAACCCCTGCACTCTCAACGGCAGAAGACAATGAGAGACACAAGCATGGGGGCAAAAGGGTGACTTTCCCTTCAGATGAAGACATTGTTTCTGGAGCTGTGGAGCCAAAAGACCCTTGGAGACATGGTAAGGATTCCACTAATCCCAATCTTTTATTACAGGGTCTATTTGGGTTGGACTGATGTTTGTTACAGTAGGTTTTCTAGATGAGGACTACATAACTCCACTATTGAAGGCCTGTGCTCCAGCAGATTCTCTGACTTCCCTGATTTCACTCACACCTGATTTATTATTATTATTTATTTTATTTTATTTGCGTTTCCTTGTCTTGTGAAATTGACATTATAAAACAAAGTTAATACCTGTGGTGTTTTCTCACATATGGGTGGTGAAAGGAAATGTGTGCTGGTGAAAGTAAAATCTGCTGACTGCAGACTGTTAAAGGACAGGGGTAATATGTATATAAAGAAGAAAAACCTACTCAGATTGCTCATTATGCTGACACCGGTCGTCCATACAATGTTTATATGTACCAGCCACCAAACCAGCAGGTCTTCCTGGAAAATGGATCTGTCTTCCTGGAACAGCTTTAACCTGCCAGTTTCTACCTACCTCATTCTTGACTGTTTAGGCTGTTAAAAGTTGTGACACTTTGAACATTAGGTGTCCCTATATTTTTGGTGTTTATCATGCTTGTGGTAGCTGCCAAATAAAAATAAATACAGCTAAACTTCTGGAATGATGCAGATTTTTTTTTAATCATCATATTTATGTTCTGTAATGTATACAGTAGTTATTTTAGCACAGTTTTCACAGCTCAGATGCTTCTGACATTTTAGAGTGCAAAGTATGAAACAGCTTTGAGATTTTGCTCAGATTTACTCAGGAACGTTGTGACCCTGGTTAGTTAAGTGAATATTGAAACTCAATGAATACATAACATCCTGACAATTGGCAACAATATTAAGCTTTTATTTAACGTGTTATTGAGGGAAGATGGGAAATTCAAAAGGATGAAAGGAACAGGCTGCAATGTGTATTAAATTTGAAGTATGTTATTAATAGTGCAATATACAGAAACTGCACCAAATACCATTCACCTGGGCCCTCACAATTAATGTAGATTTGTCTCTATTTTGATTGTGCTTTTAAGATCCTTCTAGAAATATCTGATTTGTCCATCTTCCAACAAGTTATCCTTTACAAGACCATGGAGAGGCCTGGATCTCCTGCAACATAGGCAGTAGCGTAATGGTACACCCTAGATAGGGTGTGAGTCCATAGTGCACACACTATGGGCAATCTAGAGACACCAGTTAGCCTGCTTGCAGGTCTTTTCACTTTCCTCTTGCAGTCCAATTTTTGGTGAATACCCACATTATTTTAGGAGAAGATGTAAACTCCACATGCACATATACACACACATATAGCATGAAGGCAGGACTGGAACTTCCAACCCTGGAGGTGTGAGGCAACAGTACTTCCCAACAGAATTGCCATTGACTGCAATATCAAGTTTGACCCGGGGAGTTGTTTACAAGAACATACTCGCTTATTTTTCCAGTTTGATCTTATCATTGTAGTACTTTAAATACCATGGGTGACGGACTTTCACTGGATTAGCACAATACCAAAGGTAAGGTGTACAGTTCATATATTTGTAAAAATATAGTCAAAATTATGGATAGGTTTACAGTAATAGTAGGTAAATGCCCTGGAATTACTGCCAAGGCATTAAAACCCATTCTAAATTGTAACTTGCTAGGACTGCAGCTTCAGAGAGGACAGGTGCAACTGTTGCAGACAAAACTGAAAATGCAGTGTAGTGCAAGAGGTCATGCCTATTCCTTTTAGGCCATTAAGGTGTTTATTTATAGTAATATCTATTATTAACTTAGTTGTCATGGCCTGCCCATTTATTAGTTCAGCTTATCTCATACACCTTTAGTCAGCAGGCTTCTGTGTCTTATGGTTTTGTCAGCTCTTTGCCCTATTTAGATGGATGGTGTTTGGATGGTGTGAAGTTCTGAGAATATCAAGAGTATTCTCATGCAGGAACTGCCCATGAGCCAAAGTTTTGTGCGAACCGACCATGTGATGTGTAGCTTGTAACAGGTATGGCTGCATGTAACACACAGATGAATGCATGAGATTCCACCAAATAGGTCCAGTTTTTTGAGTGCCATTCTCTCTGTTACTGTTTATGTTTGTCTAGTTTGTGCCTAAAATCCCTTTTGCTGTCAGCCAGCTCTCTCATCTTCCTTTCTGCTTGCTTACGTTGGTCACATGACCTCATACAGGCAAGCACCCTCTTTAGGCATGGTCAGTGTGCTGGTGAAGGAATGGGAGTGCCCGGTTCACCAGCCACAGTTTTCCAGAGCTGCTTTGCTGCCATGGCTTGGTCTGCTGTATGGTATTCACAGTGGATTTTGGGGGCTGGGGACGGATATTAGTCATGCTGCTTTGTGTCGTTGATGCTTTTGCTCTGGCAGACCTTACGGAGAGTTTTCTATTTTTGAATTTGTCCAGGCTGTTTTTAGTGATAATGAAGTCCTAAGCGTGTTTTCCTCTGGGGCTGCCAAAATTCAGAGTACGCTCCTTAGTGTGATGGTATATTTTTCCTCCCCCTCCATAAGGTATTATATGCGATGTAAGTGCAAGGTTAGTCTCTCATTTAAAGCGCTCTGCTTCACTCTCCCCCTTCCCATTTAACATTAAATTTCTTTTTTCTTTGTGGTGGGTAACAGCAATTCCCCATGGAGGGCTCTGGTCCTTGCTTCTGAATCAGGCCACATCTTGCCAGGAAAGCAGCTCTGAGCCAACGCATGAGTTGGTGAAGAGTTGGTGAAGAGTTGGTGAAGAGTTGGTGAAGAGTTGGTGAAGGGGTCTTTCTCACACTAGACTGCTTTTGCACTACATGCAGTCCTCCAGATTTGTCTTTTATTGGCATTATTCCCTGAGTGACTTGGCGTCCCAGAACCTTTTCTGCAATTAGGAGGACGACATGCTGGATGTCAAAAGGCTTGGTCTAGCATGGCTGAGCGCACCTGCCTTTTTGCCATTGCTGGCCTGCCCTGTTGTGAGCATTGGGCTGTTGTGATTGCGCATCTCACTCCCTTTTCGGGAGTGTCTCCCCCCAGGGGGTAGTCCTGGCTCGTGCTTCTTGTAGCATTCTTGCACTTGTAATTGTGCTGGCTTTATTGCGGGTGCCAGTCCAGTCACGTTCTCCCAAACGCCGCTGACATGGCGCGATTCCCTTCGTCATGGAGTGACGCAAGCATGTCTAGGATAATCCCCGTCATACCTTGTAAAACAGCCCCCTGTTAATATAGAGGTTTAACGTTTGTGATCTGATGTAGGTGGGGTTGGGAGATGTTTTAATCTGAGATCATGTTCAGTGACCTTTTCCAATCCTTTGGCCATTTATTCTAAAAATACTTCATTTTTCTGGCATGTGCTTTATATCGTTTATATCTCATAAACGATTTTTTACATGTGCTTTATGACAAATAATTACGAATATTCATTTTTGTTTGTAAGCACTCAGCTTTTATAAAGGATTAGATTTGTATAGTTTGTGAGATTCTTGTCCCTCCGAAGGCACAATGTAATGCTTCCTCTAACAAGTACCACCTGTCATAATCTGAGGTTGGGAAACTGTATAATAACTTCTTGGTGGAATGTATGGCAGTCTCTGCTACTGATATTTTGGAATTTGTTGAAGTTCTGGATCCTATTAGTCATATAAGGTGGCTCAACCAGTAACCTTCATGGCAAGATCTGGTGATTTCTCATTAGCATGTAAAAATTGCTTTGGTTTCTTGACTGCACAACCTGGATGAACTTGCATAATCCTGTATAAATCTGACACCTGCACAGTCTAGTAAGAAAATGTCTTTTTGATATTAAACCTGAGAAATAGTGTTGAATTTTCTCTACCCTAATTAAGATTAAATTAATTTTAAACCTAAAGTGTGGGGACATGTTTTTGCACAAAGGTTTTGTTATATTTCCAGATGATAGTCTACATGGTCTGTGTATCATTAAGTTTGGTAATACAATAAAGTACCATCTTACAGGCAACTATAAGCTGTTAGAATTGTCAGTCAAAATTAAATTTACAAAATCATTTGGAAATTTTTTTGATGAAATATGGGGTAATTAAACAGCTTATTACCTATAACAAGTCTGATCATCTATCTGTTATTTAGAGGTCCTTTTCCTTTAAATAAATTATATATATATATATATATATATAGAGATGCTATTCAATGTACCATGTACTCCTACAGCATTACTAAGACGTTTGTTTAAATAATACTTACTACAGGCTTATGTCCCTAGGGGTTATTTAATGGGTGGTTGTTTGTGTTATTAATTTACCATCTGAGTTAACAGGTTAAGGTCTAAAGACAGTACTTCCATGAACAGTAATATTTTCTGCTTTCTTAGTAATGGTTTTTCTCTTGCTGAGGCGCTTCGGTTTTTTTGTCTGGTGAACCATGGACTACAGATGCATTAAAAATTAAGCCTTTATAAATAATATTATTATAAGGTTGTGTATAATTGTAATAGCAGACATTCATCACAGTAATTCTCTGGCTGCCCTCTTAATTGTCAAGCCTCCTACAGGCATGGACATGCAGTGTTTCAAGTTGCAGTATTTTTAGCTTTTATTTATAACCTTTTATTACTAGGTTAACTACCTGTTATATAAACATTTTCAGTAGGGTAATTATATCGTATTAAGTTTCACAGATTGGTAGTTGTAGATTTATTTGCTTAATATATGCACTGTGATATTAAAGTCGCTAACTACTGCTGTTTGATAGATTGACAGATAAACAAAGGCTTTGGTGGAGCTACCTGTTTTCTCTTTGGTACTGTTTTGCTATTTACCAGTATTTAAACAAAAAAACGAAGTATTTGACAAGTCTTATTACTTGTAGTGTGCATATTTCTGATTATCAGACTTGGTAATCCAAAGTACATTGTGTAAGCTTCTACAGTGTCTGATAGCTACAACTTAAACAAGTAGTGCAGCACGTAGTCTCTGAACATGCTGAAGGCCCACAAGCAAAGCTGTGTAAATTTCTCTTGACATCTGGCAACTGATAAAATGATTT